ATAGAGGAACCAGGAGAGCTACCTGAGAAGCCTCAGGATGGAGGGGGGGCACCAACATTGTCAAACGCTGCAAAAACCCAACAAGCAAACAGACCACACAGCTGTTAACAGTGAAGGGAGGTGGCTTCATACAAAGCCCAAGGATGAACTTAAGACTGGGATTTTGTTCACAGTCAAGGCCAGTCGACTTGTTTATCCTAAGAGGCCAATGCGTGTTCTTCACCGCCCTGCCCTTTACTCCCTTCTATGTGGGGTAAGTCTCCTTCACAAATCGCTGATTCGGGGGCCTCACTTCCCACTCCTTACCGCCTCCCCCTACTTGCCACTTCCCTGGAGACCATCCCTTAATTAACCCAGGGAGAGAGGGCGTTGCCCGAGGGAACAGAGTCCACCGGAGCCGCTGCTGGAGAGGCGCGAGGGCTGGCTGAGCGGGCCCGGAGAGAAGCGCTGAGCAGCCGCGAGGTGGGGGCGATGGGCGGCTCCCCATCTCGGTACCCGGCCTCGGGGGCGCAGCGCACGTCGCGCGCAACTTGCAAAGCGCGGGCTACGCGGCGGGGGCTCAAGGTCTGGGTGGCGTCAGGGCTGCGGGCACGCCGGGGCGGCCGCAGGTTCCTCCTCTGAGCACCCATCGCGCTTTGGCCTCCAGGTCTCTGATCTTTCTTCCTTTCTCCACCAGTCTAACCATTCTTAAAAGCCCCGTCTTTCCCTTTAAACTCTGTTCTGTCCTCCTTTGGTCAGAGGTTCCGGACTGTCGCTGAAACAGCGCGCCTTGGGGCTGCTGCTATTTTTTTCTTCACTTTGGGAGCAACCGCTGAAACTTAAGAGCTGAATTTGAGTGGGGGTGGGGGCTTCTGTCCTGGAGAAGGAAACGGCGACCCCCTCCAGTATTCTGGCCTGGAGAATCCCATGGACAGAGCAGCCTGGTGGGTTACAGTCCACGGGGTCGCAAAGACTCGGACACGACTGAGCAACTAACACTGGGCCTTCTGTGGTGGCGGTAAAGAATCTGCCCGCAATGCAGGAAACCCAGGTTGGACCCCCGGGTCAGGTGGATTCCCTGGAGAAGCGACTGGCAACCCACTCCAGTACTCTTGCCTGGAGAATCCCAGGGACAGAGGAGCCTGGCGGGCTGCAGTCCATGGGCTCGCAAAAGAGTCCGACGTGACGACTAACAGACTTTTGGAATTGAACAGGCAGCTGGGAGCGATATTTGCACTTTGGTGTTTTTGTATAGCACACAAACCTTCGAAATTCTACTTGACTGCTTAGCTCTAGGGGAGAGGGGAGTTAATCCCACAGCCCCGCCGAGGGAACACTTATAACAGGCTGCTGAGAAAAAATGAAGAGGGTTAAAGCTTTGCAGTTTTGTGGACGAGCCTGTGAATTGAATGTTAGGTATTTTTTTTAACCAGGCTGCATTTTATCTGAGGCGAACACCTGCTTAAGATTTAAGAACACCTACAGAGGATTTTGTGGGAAGAGACCTGCTGTAAAAAAAAAAACAAAAACAAAAAACGGTCTTTACAGAGCTTTAAGATTGATCCTGGGGACCTATTTGCTGTTAATGGTATTTCTCAGTTTTAGACCTGTGTATTTCTTTTTTTTTTTTTTTTTTTAGACCTGTGTATTTCTTTCTTTCTTTTTTTTTTTCTTTATATCTCAAGTTGAATGTGAGAGTTAAGTCCCTAGCGATGGCGTTCCTGGGAAAAATTACACAAGCTTTTTGGATCAATGCATTTTTAAAACAAAAGAAATCGAATACTGAATTGTTTTTCCCATTTAAGTTTCAGTTTCATCCACAGTATTTGAAATATTTTTCAAAAAGATGGTATAATTTTAAAATGTGAGGAATTACTTCCAGCAAAGTAGCAGTGTGTAGGTGTTCTAGATTTTTGTTAATTAAGCTTAAATACTTGCACACAGTGCAATTTAATTTTGTATAATTGCTGATAATTCATTTGATTGTTAACACCTCCTTTGTATTTAATTATGGCAGCTCCTAGAAGAAAATTGTTTGGCTTTTTGTCATTTGTTGAAAAGTATTGATGTATCCAGTTTTATTGGGTGGGCAATATCATGAAGCACTTACTTATCAATGCCTTGATGTTTGGTTGGATGAGCAGTCTAATTCGTAAAGACCTGATTTTAAAGTGATACATACACAGTCTAAGGAATATTCAATAGTTTAGTTTTGAAGCTAAAAATACACACATTTAATTGAGCTGAATATACTTTTGCAGATGGAGAAATCAATTATTCTACTGCTCTGCATACAATATTTTGTTAAGGTAAGACATTTTTTAATGTAAACTTTTTGGAATAACTAATGGGCAAGAGGTTATTACATTGACTCTATCTATTTTGGAAAATAGAGTATAAGAGAAATAACACTAAATATCAGATTTAGTACCTAAGAAAAAATATTTTTGCTAGGTTGCTCTGCAAATATATGCATTTTGGTGGCAGCTGTTTTCACTGCTTGCAAATTGTTTGGGGGGATATTCACTGCAGAAGGAGAGATCAGAATTTGGTAAAAGACAAGGTAACAGTGAAACATTTTAAAGTTGTTTTGGTAGGAAGTTTGATGAATATATCATTCTCTTGAGAGTTGAATTCTTATTTGTCATCTAGGGAACATAAAGGTCTCTGAAAATGTGGTCTGGCTGTTTTGCCTCAATTGCTAATATTTTCTTTACCTACAAGTGAACCAAGGTTTTAGAATTAGTCAAGTATCTTGCACTCAAACTTAGGTTCCTTCTAAGTATTGTCAAGAATCTGTTATCATCAAGGCACACAGTTTGACATGCTAGGACGGTGTGCTGGGACTTCGTCTCTTTATTCCCATTGACCCCAGAATCACTGTTTCCTACTGTGCTGTGTGTGTTAGCTGCTCAGTCATGTCCAACTCTTTGCAACCCCGTGGACCGTAGCCCGCCAGACACCTCTGTCCATGAAAATTTCCAGCCAAGACCACTGGAGTAGGTTGCCATTTCCTATTCTATGGGATCTTCCTAACCCCAGGATCAAATACGCATCTCCTGCATTAGCAGGCGGATTCTTTACTACCAAGCCACCTGGGAAGCCCATGGTGTTTCCTAACAGGCATCTAAAATTTGCCTGCCTTTCTTTTACTTTTTGTAGTTGATTTACAGGGCTGTGTTAGTTTCTTCTGTACTGCAAAGTGAATTGTTTCTACATACATCCACTCTTCTCTTAAGATTCTTTCCCCATATAGGCCTTTACAGAGTATTGAGCAGAGTTTCATGTGCTGTATAGTAGGCCCTGATTAGTTACCTCTTTTGTATATAATGATATATATGTCAGTCTCAACCTTCCAATTTATCCCTCCCCAACCTTTCCCCCTTGTAACCATAAACTTATTTTCTACATCTGACTCTTATTACCGTTTTGTAGATCAGTTCATTTGTATCCTTCTTTTTCTGATTCCACATGTAAGCGATTCTCATACGATATTTGTCTCGCTCTGACTTCTGTAACTCAGTGTGATAATCGCCAAGTCCGTCCATGTTGCTGCAAATGGCATTATTTTGTTCTTTTTTTCATGTTTACTTAAGTTTTTCCCCAAACTGTGCTTATAAATAGTGTATGCAATGGATGTTATTTAATTCATGTGTAGAAATTAATGTTTCTAAAATATTTTAAAATTATAATTTGGTATAGTCTAGGTTTCATTTTTGTAAATTTGCTTATGAAACAATAACCAAGAATGCATTTTAATTTTTCTTCAGCATTATTTTTCTTTCTCATTTCAGATCTTAAAAAGTTTCCACTATATACCAAAGGATAAACAAACAACAGTTTTTATTGAATGGGATGAATTTCCTAAGGGAGGCAGTCCTGAATTTTATTTTTTAAAATACCAACTTGTTAATAATTTTGCTCAGAAAGTAAGGCATCATTTATTTTATGGTTCTGATAAAAGTGAGCATAGTAAATTTGTTATAACTAAGTGCCACATCATAAATAGGAATTTAATAGTTATTGCAATTTCTTACTTTAATTTTACTTATATATATAATTCTAGCATTTTATGAAATTAATAACTAGATAAAAATAGTATTTGACTATTTCATCATTAGAATCTTTATGAATGTTCCTTTATAGAATTTATATACTACACAGTATTTAAAAAGTAATGTTTTTATGTAAAATTTTATGTAATTTTGCATTTCATATTGGAAAAACTGCTTATGAAGATATACAGCAGCCAAACTTCTAATTATAATGTATCTTACATAGTTAATAAACATTTCTTAGGCAAATGAATCTCCTTATTTACAGAATGTTAAAAAGATTCTTGCAGACCCACAAAAGTTTCCAAAATCAATACTAACACTAGAAGAAAATGAAGATTATCACATTATTATACAGTCTGTAAAATATGGACAAATTTTAAGTGAAAAGTCATTTCAAACTCGTAAGTAATGTGTTTGTATTGTTCAACTATCTTACCTAATCTTGAAAGGGAAAATGTTTTATTTTCAGATAGTTTGAATTTTACAATGATGAACAGATATGTAATGGTAATCAGAAATCACATCATGATAGTGTTTTGTTTGATTATAATTTAGTTTTCAAAATTTAAAGGAAACTGAAGCTAAAGTAAGAATTCAGTTTTCAGTTTTGGCATTAATGTGTGCCAATATGGTGGCTAGGTATAGTGTAGATTTACATATAATCCAGATTATCCTCAAGTACTATAATGTGGATTGTAATCTGTTGTAATTCATTCATTCTAAATAGAGTACCAGAAACTCGCATATAATCCAGGAAAGATTTATAGTTAGATCAAGTTTTTCCATCATGGTGAGTCTTCGGTAATTCAACATCCTTTGTGTTTCATTCTGTTTTATTTGAAACTTTGCTAATTATTCTCCCTGATCTTTTAGGTGGAGTATCAGCTAGAAATATTAAAACAGTAGCAACAAGTACGAGTGTTTCTTTTAACTGGAGTGTGCTATCTTCCAATGACATTTTGGTGTCAATATCGCTTAATAATTCTTCACACATTATGCAGAATGTCATGTTTTATGAGTGGGATGATTTGAAACCTGCCACCTTATATGTTTTTACACTTGAATTTAAACAGTTGCATTTGGATTTTATAAATATACTTCAGAGATTGGATATTCAAATTGAAACAGGTATGTAAATATTTATTAATTTATATATTTAGTATGTATCTTGTAGATAAATTGGTAGCCTTTAAAAAGTGATTCAGCTAAGTATTAACCAGTGTAAACTACTTGTAAATGAATTAGCATAGCCCTCTTTTTTCTAACTATATTATTCTGATATTTGACTGATTTATTTAACAAGCCGGATTTAGCCGGTAAAGATAATTTTTCTTCCACCACTTCTTTTAAACTGAACCAAGTGGGTGCTCTTTCCTTTAACTCTGACAATGTTTCATATAGATTTTCCAGGAGGTACTAGAGGACAGAGGAGCCCATGTGTTATAGTCCATGGGGTTGCAAAGAGTTGGACATGACTTAGTGACTGAACAACATATAGATTCCATGAATTTTTAGGTAGCTTCAATATCTCAATGGCCGGTCTCATTTTCAGATATTAAATTATCGTTAAAATATAGTATAACATAGGAATATTTCATTATCTCACTCAGAATGCAGTGGACCCTCGTAAATAATAAAAGGTGAAAAGTTACAGCTCAGCAGACTTAGAGTGCTACCTACCAACTCCTCTGGTCTCAAGTTATTTTTCAGAAACATAGCATCCAGTTGGATGCTAGGACATTTAGATAGATTCTAGTCCAGAATGGTATGCTTTATGGTATGTCAATGGATTGTATCTCTAAGAAGGAAATTCTTTTAAGAATCTGTGTCAAATAAATCTCTTTCCTGAAGGAGGAAAAAAGTACATAAATTTTTCATTCTATTTGAAGTTTCTCCATTACTCATCCCCGATCAGACCTGACCTAAATTTGAAATACTGCAAGGGGGAGCTGAAGTTGTTCAGTTTTTTGGTGTCTTCCTATTTCCTGTTCCTTCTCACACATGATAGGAAAGGATTTGAGGACAGAGTCCTAAATGGCTAATAGGGGCAATGCACTTTCTGTGATGGGCTAAGAGTCCCATTTCAATACCCTGTATAGGAACCATAAATGAATCACAATATCTTTTATGATAAATTTTGTTAATAAAAAGACAATAAGGTAGTTAAAGCATTTCCTCTCATACTTCTTCCCCAATGAAAACAAGACAACAGTTCAAAATATCCTTTACAGAGTGAACTAAGTCAGAAAAAGAAAAAATATATATATAACACATATATATGAAATCTAGAAAAATGGTTCTGATGACGAACCTATCTGTAGGGTAGGAATAAATATGCAGACATAGAGGATGGATTTGTGGACGTGGAGGAGGGAGAGGGTTGGATGAATTGGGAATAGCACTGACATATATACATGACCGTGTGTCAAATAGATAGGGGGAAGCTGTTGTATAGTCAGGGAGCTCAGTTCAGGGCTCTGCCGTGACCTAGAGGGGTGAGATGAGGGGATGGGAGGGAACTGTGAGAAGGAGGGGGTGTATGTGTGTGTGTATATGTGTGTATGTATATATATGTGTGTGTGTGTATATCTGATTCAGGTTGTTGTACAGTAGAAACTAACAGCGTTGCAAAACAATCATACTCCAATAAAAAAAAAAAATCCGTCTTACATCTTCCTCACATGTTGGGTTGGCCACTGATGCTTCATCAACGTGAACTGAAGAACAGTTTTTACTCTGAACAAGCTGATATTTTCCTGTCTTTCTGTGGTGTGTAATCTTGGAGAAAGGACTAAACAGCCAGCCATTCCAGTTTTTTTTTTTTTTTAGAAAGTGAACCCATTTGAAATCAAATGACAAAGAGCAGAATTCATAGCAAGCATGATATCTTGTGTATGTGTGCATGTATGCTGAGTCATATCTGACTCTCTGTGACCCCATGGACCATAGCCTGCCAGGCTCCTCTGTTCCATGGAATTTCCTAGGCAAGAATACTGGAGTGGGTTGCCATTTCCTACTCCAGGAGAGCCCTCTGAATTACAAAGAAGCCTGAAATATATTTAAAAAGTTCTCTAGCAGTATAAGAGTAAGGGAAAGGAAGGGTAACCAAAAGTAATTTAGAAAGAAAAACATTTGTGGTTTTGTGTTAAGTTGTAATTGGGCAATAATTCTGTATAATTAATTCTTAAAGCTACTTAAAACTATTTTAGTTGGTAGTAATTCACTTACTACTAGAATAAAGCAGCTTTAGCAGTTTTATTGGTTTGGGAGAAATATAGGGAAAGTGCACAGTTAATACTATGAGGTTTTTAGAGTTAACCTCTGTGGATGTTAAGAAATATAATTGTGAAATGTTATATTGCTGAATCCATCTTTAACAAAAGCATTTTTCTTTTGGTAGGTTCATGTTCACAAGGATGGGTAGCATTTAAAAATAGCTGTTATAGAATTAGCAAAGAGAGTAAGCCATGGAATATAGCCCAGCAATACTGTAAGCTGTCCTTAACTTCTGCACACCTGGTGGATATAAAAAGCGAGGAGGAAAAAAAATTTGTATTTTCACATCTCAGGTCAAAGAATCAAATAATAATATGGACTGGTCTTAACGACTTTAAGGTCAGTAGATATAAAGAATATGTATTGTGATAAAACTGTTTTTACCTATGTTCCTTCATCTATTCCTTCTTACCTTAATTCAATAAATATTTAATGAGTATTTCTTATACGCGAGGGATTCCCTGGTGGCTCAGATAGTAAGGAATACACCTGCAATACTCTGGTTTCTCTTCAGATCGTATAAATCTTTCGCCTTTTACTAAAGAATACACCTGCAACCCAGGGAGACCTGGGTTCAATCCCTGGGTTGGGAGATCCCTTGGAGAAGGGAATGGCTTACCCACTCCAGTATTCTGGCCTAGAGAATTCCGTGGACTGTATTTATAGCTTCACAGCAAAATTGAAGGAAAAGACAGATTACCCATGTACCCTCTGCCTCCAGACATACATTGCCTCCCTCATTAGCAGCATCACCACCCAGAATAGTAATCTGTTACAACCCAGGAGCCTGTGTTGATACATCATAATCACTCAAAGCCTAGGGTTTCCATCATGGTTCAGTCTTGGTTTCATTCATTCTATGGGTTTGGACAAATATAATATATATCCATCATTTTAGTATGGTACAGAGTATTTTCATTGTCCTAAAAACCCTCTTTTCCCTGTCTCTTCATTCCTTCCCCACCTCCACATCTCTATTTTGTAGGCATTTATTTATCTAATTTTGCTTTAATTTTAATTTTTCCCAGACCCCTCTTAAATACAAGTGATCTCATCCATTTCTTATTTTTTCCCACCTGAACCAGTTCTCAGATGTTTAGCTAGCCCACTTTCCTCTTGGATGTCTGAAACTCATATCTGATTTTCTTCTGCTTACTCATCCCTTTTGAACTTTTCTGCAGACAGTTCAATATTGCCAAAACTGACTTGTCACATCCCTCCCATCAAACCTGCTCCACTTCCTCTATTTCTTACCTCTGTGAACAATACAATAATATGAACCTGAAAACATGGAGGTCTCCATTTTACTTTTTTCACTGTAGACATCCAGGTTTTAGAGTTCAGTTTTACTAAAGAGATACAGAACTCTGAAGATTTTAGTCAATACGAGTGAAATAAGGAGTGAGTGACATTTTCCTCCAAACAATCCTAACCCTGTGGAATAGCTCATGAAATCACATTTTGGCTAAAGTTGTGTAGGAAAACTTGAGACCTAACACTATCTTTGTCTAATCTGTGTTTTCTTCTTGGTGTTCCATTTATTTTTATTTCCTGCCACTCTGTTTTCCATGAGATACCCTGATCTCTCATGACCCAAGGCAAATTCTATCAGTTTTGATACCAGTTTTTCTTTGAAACTTTGTGTAAGCTTGGGTGAAACTATTGGCAATCTTTGTATTGGCAATCTTTAACTGCATTTTCATCATTCCCTTAATGAGATTTCTTTATCTTTTAATGGGCAGTGAAGGAAATTCTAATAAAGATTCCTCAAACCACAGTTCATCTTAGAAGTCCCCCTTCCAGTGTGCTAGTCTCTTTCCAGTAGCCCAGTTATATACATTTATTTCTTTCCTGCTTCTAGCATGGTGGTTCTGAACTGTTTAAATTAGAATGCTTTCTTCCAATAGTTATGGTTACTGGTTTTTGTTATGAAGTTAGATCATATGCTCATGAGAGGCAAAGTGAGGCTCTCAAGGCATCCTTGTGGTGGTTATGAATTTTTCTAAAGGGTCTAAGATACAGATTCTGCTTTAAGATACTTAAAAATAATTTGGAAAGTGAATGAAACATCAAAGTAACTATTTAAAAAAACCTTCTTTTGTAATAATAGCTGAGTCCTATCATATCTCCTAAGTGGTAAGTGTAGTTCTATGTGATTTACTTGTATGGCAGAGGAAATTAGCACACCTGTGGACAGGCATCAGAGTCTGATCTTAACCACTATACGACCTTTCAAGCTGGTCTCTTGAGGTTGACATCAGAGTTAACTTCTGGGTCAATTCTTGTGGCAGACTGAGGAAGTCATCACCCCTTTAAGTAAACCCATGCTGAGTAAGTGTGAGTTCGTTACTGGACATCATAGAAAAAGACTGATTCATCATTACATCCTAGCTTTCAAATGGGATTCGGCCACTCAATAGGAACTTAATGAAAGATTAATTATTTCTATATTCTACTTTTGGAAGGGTTACATAGGTAATTCTCATTGAGTTCTCGGAACAACCTTATGAATAGGCAATGTAATTATTCTCATTTTATAGATAAGGAAAATGAACTCAGAAATATCCTGGGTCACATACCTAATAAATGGCCACATCCGACCTCAAACCTGTATCTATTTGACCAACACTCGTGCCCTAATCATTTGACCATACTGCCTCTGAGCCTCTGTCTGTTTTCAAAATGGCAGTACAATATATGCAATACAGCAGACTCTAAGGAAGTGATATTCCTCCATTCTACTTGATGGAATTGGAATGTACTGTTTTAAAATCTCTTTAGAATATCTGAAGGGAGCAGGTCTTTTTAGTTTTCATCCATGCCACTAGTTTGGCACTGTGCTTGATGCTGGGGATGATGTCATACTCACAGTATGGACATATAGTCTCAATTTTCATAGAACTCATTGTCTCTAAGAATTATATTTGATTTTGAGGCACTGTCACGTGCCTGGTCTTTTAAGCGTTCATACTCTAAACCTGTTGACTGCTTTAGCTCCATTGCACTGATTAGCTCCATTGCACTGGTGAAAGTATTTCATTTCTAAGAGGTTAGTAGTTGTCTGTTACTTAGATAGGAAGTGGCAAAACTGTTGATTAGAATCCAGCTATGTTTTTGTCAAAGCTTCTTTTCCTACTACCCTTTTCAAGGAGAGTAGCCACTACTTAGAGATTTATTACTTGTGAAAGTTGAGGTTGATGATATTCACTACTGACATCCTTACCAGAATGGTAATAGAAACCTCTTCTGATGCTTAAGACTTATTTGATGACTTGAATCAAAATAACCTCTGAATAATAAAGGGTCTGTGCTTGGCATGGTTTTGAGCACTTCACATGCACTGCCTGCAATGCTCACAACAAATTAGATGTAGTTTCTATCATTATACCTATTTTACAGATGAGAAAACAGAGGTTTAATGTGAAAATTTTTTCTCCTGAAGATACAGCTAATGAATGGATGAAAATGAACTCTGCCTCCAGCTCAAAATCTTTATCATGAAGGAAATCTACCTGAAAATATGAAACTGGTTGATGATTTAACAATCTTAGAAAATTTTATAATATAGATATCTAATAAAAATCTTTAAGTACACATATTTGAAATGCGACTTTTCCTTTAAATTGGCTTAATTTGTACATCTTATTACAGAAAGAAGGTCATCTCACATGGACGGATGGATCATCTTTTGACCTTAAGGGAAATGAAATGCTTTCTTTTCCACTACTACCCAAGAATGAAACGGATTGCTACATTTTACAGCAAAACTCAACTGGATCAAACTATTTCTTTACAGGATTTTTCTGTTATGTTCCCTTGCCATATATTTGTGAATATGAATGTAATTATTTTTTTAGTATTTGTCTATTCATGCATGTTATTCTTTTATTACTTTAAAGATAGAATTATAATTTCTAATAAAAATAATTCTCTTGTTTCTTTTAGCACCTTCTCTGCAGGAAAACCTTTTATTCTATGTAAAGGAAGTTGGAACAACTGAAGTTGTGTTTAGTTGGAATAATTTGAGTGCTTGGAATAATTTGAATAAGTGGCTGAAACTTGGATATAAAATTATCATTAAATATTATTTAGATTGTACAGAAGAGCAGCATTTTGAAAGCATGCCCCCAGATACTACAAAGAAAGCAATTACACAATTGTATCCTGGCCGTGTTTACAGATTTTTATTCTCTGCAATAAATGAATGGGAGGCAAAAACTACTTTAAGTCCAGTATTCGTTGTTGAAACACGTAAGTTACAAGACATCTGAAAGTATAATTTTTGAAATATTTAATATCATCATTAGCACGTAATTCCTGAGGGTCTGCTTGCTATTTTCTCATAACATTCTGAGAAATCTCTCTTTAGCTATTTTAAATTACAATGGATCTGTTTATGTGTTTGGCTTTCCTATTAAACTATGCACCCAGAAGGGCAGGAACTGTATCTTATTTACAGTAATTAGACTGGTTCCAAGTTCATAGTAGATAATAAGTCGGGGGGAAGCTGAATTTTTGATGTGCTAAAGGAGGAGATAAGCAGACATGCATCCTGGATTATAAGGGACTTACAATGGAGAGGATTAGTAAGGAATAAAATTAAGTGCAAACAAAATTGTATAGAAAAATGTAATTACCAAATTCCCAGTCCACGGTACGTTTAATAAATGCTTTTTAAATGCATTAATGTATTAATTAAATAAATGCATTTAATAAATTCAGAGGGTGAGTGACAGGAGCAGAATTATGGAAGGGATAGGTTTAGATTCAAACTTTGAGGAAGAAAAGCACATCGTGAGCAAAAGTGTGGTGATGTGAATTTGTAGGAAAAGAACAGTGTGGATCGACTGGAGATCTTCGGGCGTGAGGGTAACAGCGGTCTGAGCAGTAGGTGACATCAGATTTGGACATGCCAGCAGTCTGTCTTAGATGGTTGGACTTGACCTTAGAAACGAAGGAAATCCATGAAGACTATGGTTTCTAAGTCTTGTTTTACCTTTTCCAAGTACTTTTAATGCATTGTTTTAGTCTGTCTCTCAGCGTTTGGAGTAGCTAGAGAGAAATGAGAAAACTAAACTTCAGAAAGGAGAAGTAAAGTGACTGGACTAACATGGCTTGTTAAACCAGACAGGAATCCAGGCACCCGGATGGTCTTCTTTTAACTGTTGAACTATTGCTTCTAAAGAAAGAATCAAAAAGAATGTGTGTGCATGTCTGTGTGTTTGGAGGGTTGGGAACGGATACAGGTTTGAGGCTGATAATGTGCAAGGTGCTGTTTTAGGAACACTAATATGGAGGGATTAACTGGGAAAATAACTGGCACCAGATGAAACAATTTGGAGTTGGGAAATATTTCTGTAAGAGGATGAATGCCTGAGTTCCGGTGATGTTAGGGATGAAGAATAAATAATATGAAGTCCCTGCCCTCTTGTCTGACAAGGCAGAAGTGAATGACACATATAACATATGATGACCGAGTGCCAGAGTATCATTTTGGTGATGCTTGTAATAAAATTGAACAGGAGTGTGTGTCAAACACTTTGACGAGTGCTTTACCCTCCATATTTTATTTAATCTTCATAATTACTACTATAATTCCCATTTTATATTAAAAAAAACCTGAGGTTCAGAAAGAATAAGTAATTCACTCAGGAAGTTGGAGATATAAATTGGAAGGGTCAGGGCTCAAATCTAATTTTCCTTTTCTCTCCAAATTTAGAGTATCATGGGAGTACTGAGAGCTAAGAGGTAACTCTGCCAAACCGTATTACTAGTATAATGCCTTTTTTTTTGTTTGTTTGTTTCTTCTCATCTACTAGGTCCATTATCACCTCAAAACGTCACAGTTACTCATGTGACCCCAACGGAAATATTTTTACACTGGGATGCTCCAGATCCTGTATCTTTTGACCATTATTTTGTGGTTATGTTGGATCCTGAAAATGCTAAATCAGAAGAAGTGTTTGTTGAAAAACCCAACACATCCACAACAATTGGAAATCTCAAATCTTTCCATCATTATCTGATCTATCTATTCAGTGTGGCAGAAAGAGGAACTCTGAGCTACTTTGAGAAACCTGTTTCAGCCATTACAGGTATGGGCACATTTTGCATTTTGATCAGTACAAATTCAGCATACTTTGGAATACTGTTTTGCGGAAATTTAATTGTGTTGATCCTTCATAGGTACAAAATGATCACAGTTGAACATTTGTCTAGATGTTGAATCATGATTCTAAGCATGGATTCCAAATACTAAATTAATTTAGATTTACATGAACTCCTTAAATATCAGCAATTTTCCTACCAGAGTTCCTGGAAGGAATATTTCTTATCATAGCCTTTGTTGGGAAATAAATTATCCTAGAAGATGAAGATTAGTCACCCAGTTCTCTTTGATAGCTTCAGACCCAACAAGTCTGCACATGTAAGCATGACCTTTTGCTACGCAATGCTATGCATTGACCTCTAGGGAGCAGTGTCACACCAGGACTTTTGGCAAATACGTTTCTAAACTACACTCAGCATAGCAGTTTTTGAATGATTGTCTAGAACAGAATCATTAAAATAACCTAGCTTTTAATTAAGCATTCTATTTACCCCCTAAAGTCAGTCTTTTTTGAAAGGAGAAAACTCAATTCATGAAAGTACATAACTCAGCACGCTGTACTGTTTGTGCATGTGTGGTTAACACGTTTACATGCAAGGTTCTTTGAAATTTCACCAGCTAAAGTTTAAACACATGAGAACTGAGGGAAAACCTTCACGTGCACCGCCACAGATTGATTAACCTTCTCATACGTGGGAATACTTAGGATTCTTGGAAGAAGACAATGATGATTATTGGTAAAACAAATAAAAAAATACATCATTTCATGCTTACTGAATGCAAATACTTAAGACACATGCATTCAGTGTTGCAAATCCTAATCAGAAGTATTTTTCCAGTTGGATACTAGAGAGCAGATATTTTCTTATCTCCAAGTTCAGACAAAACATGTCAATTGATACATGCTTGATTGAGTTCCTGACACTTTAGGAAGATGCTTTCATTTTTAACTGACAGGCAGACTAGGAGGATTTCTCACAGATTCATTAATTTTTAAATCACATTAAAATCTTCCATGGTATGTACCTATTTGTGAAGTCGAGGGACAGGAGAAAGGTACATGTGAGTCTGCACATTTAATTGTGTGACTTGCTATGTATGTTGACTATAAACTGACATAGCAGTGCGTGTTTAAGGATTTAGTAATCCAGTGCTCTTTTACTTTGCTATGGATGAAGCAATATTCCTTTTTGTTTCATTCATTATTTACTCAACAGATTATGTTTTAGTGTCAGGAATTGCATTGGAGACTAGAAATGCAAAGATGAATAAGACTAGGATTTATCTTCAGAGGGCTTACATGTTAATGGAATGAGACAAATTTTTTAAAATAATGATTCTGTATTATAACTGCTATGAAGGCTTATGCTCTTGATACTATAGGAGCATAGAGAGGAATCAGTTAACTCAGACCGGGGTACAAGGATAGCCGTGAGAATCTTTGTGGAGGAGTGATACTCTGAGTCATGAGGGGAGGTAAGAGTGAGCCAAGCAGGAACGGGGTTACAGAAGGATGCTGCAAGGGGGGGCAAACAGCATGTGAATAGACAGAGAGGACCGAAGCAGAGGCATCCACCTAGCTACCCCTGGGAAAGCCAGAGAAGGCTTTTTGAAGACTGACAACTGAACATTAGAAAATGATGAGTAGATTGGCATGGCTGAAGTACAGGGGGGCATATAGTGAGGGTCTAGAAAATGTAAGCTAGGCATTCAACAGGAAGAGACTTGATGGTGTACATTTTATTCACTAAAATTTAACTGTTTTGGGTTAATGGAGTCTTTGAAAATGTAGAAAAAATAATGGGCTTTCTCCCATAAAAATGCATGGGCGTGTATAGAAAATTCTTTGAGTAACTATAGGACAATAACAAACTCCTAAGTTTTGTAGGTGTGTGTGTAAGAAAAAGTATCTGAAGTTGTTTCACCATGGAATCTTTTGAACAGTTTTCTAATGGAACTATTCTGACATTTCCTGATAATTTTATATAATCGATTTCAACACCTAGAGTCAAACTAGCTTCAGTTTTGTGAAATGAAGTTATGAAATGAATAGACCCAGAATATTTTCTTAAGAAATTAAAATGTAGTGTTTGATTTGGTTGATTAGGAAATGAACTTCAAAACATACGAAAAATCAACTTATAGTTTCTGAAAACAAAGTGACTATGAAAATCATAAATGGAACTATTCTGACATTTCCTGATAATTTTATATAATCGATTTCAACACCTAGATTCAAACTAGCTTCAGTTTTGTGAAATGAAGTTATGAAATGAATAGACCCAGAATATTTTCTTAAGAAATTAAAATGTAGTGTTTGATTTGGTTGATTAGGAAATGAACTTCAAAACATACGAAAAATCAACTTATAGTTTCTGAAAACAAAGTGACTATGAAAATCATGGAGAATTCTTTTTTACATTTTTTTTAACTGAAGGATAATTGTTTTACAGAATTTTGTTGTTTTCTGTCAAACATCAACATGAATCAGCCATAGGTGTACATATAACCCCTCCCTCCTAAATCTCCCTCCCATCTCCCTCCCCACCCCACCCCTCTAGGTTGATACAGAGCCCCTGTTTGAGTTTCCTGAGACATACAGCAAATTCCTATTGGCTCTCTAGTTTACATATGGTAATGTTGGTTTCCATGTTACTCTCCCATACATCTCATCCTCTCCTCCCCTCTTCCCACGTCCATAAGTCTGTTCTCTATGTCTGTTTCTCCATTGTTACCTTGCAAATAAACTTATCAGTACCACATTCCTAGATTCCATATATATGTGTTAGTATATGGTATTTATCTTCTCTTTCT